ATATATGTATGTATACTTGTTGCTTTTCTAACGACCAATTTAAAAAGGACTTTTTAATTAATTTAAGAGTGTGTTTGATAGGAGGTCAATTTCGTGAAAAATGAAATTGGAATTCTAACTTTCACTCTTAAGGTGATTTGACGTTCAAAATATTTCATAGAATTCAAATTCCCACTTTCTTGCCACATAAGTCGAATTTCAACTTTTGCTTGAATTGGAATTCTTCCAATTCCCATTTATTGTAGCAATTTTTTTTTCGATTTTTTTTTTTTTGTGACAATGGAAACAAATTTCAAGAATTATTGTAAAAAAATATTTCTCTTTAATTGACAATTTTCATGTGAAACAAAGTCAAACGAACACCAAAAGATATATGATTTTCTTGAATTTTTTTTTGGCAATAGAAACAAATTTTATCCCCAATACCAGTAAATTCTATCCTTTAAATTGACAATTTTCACGAAAACAAAATCAAACGAACACCAAAAAATACTTTCATTTCAACATTTTCCACCGTGAAAAATTATACCAATTAAACACATTTACAATTCCCAGAAAAACAATTTTTAGGTAATTCAATTTTCTGAAATTGGTTTTCTTTCCATCGAAATTTCATCTTTGCAATCAAATGAATCCTAAATATTTTTTTTTTAACTTTTCTACTTGTTAGTATGTAAATTAATGACATTGGATACATTTTTAATGACATGATGTTGGAATATATTACTTTTTCTTATGCTTTTGTCCAAGTGGTAGGTCACATGGGAATTGATTAAGCAGCAAGTCATGGAAACAGAAAGTCACATAAAGTTAGTACTGTGTTTCACCATATTGTTCAATGCTCCTTTTGAAGCGTTAGGTCAGACCCATAGATGCACTCATTATATTTTTGATACTTGAGGCGATGTATCACCTCTCAGCTGTAGTAGGTAATAACATTTATGATGGCTTTGATAATACGATTGAACTTGATCGATGGATCTTTAGAATGAGGGAGCATTCAATGAGCCTCAGTTCATTCATCTTAGCTATAAATATTCACATTTGGCCCTTGTTTGAACTACATTATTTTTCTTAGAATGTATTTTTGAATAATGTATTGATAAGAAATGTGTAGTTAAAAAATATAGAAAAGTTTTGAATTTGAGTGTAATATTATTTTATTGAATAATATGTAGTTGAAATGATGTCAAATCACTGTTTAAAAATGTATTTTTCCAAAAAAATGTGGCTCAAACATGGCCTTAATGACATTCAAAGAGATGCAAGTGTAGAACTCGATATCCATACTTTCTTTTATTGTATTTCTTCCACACTCAATATATTTTTATCATCTGAGTTGAACGTCGAATGATTTACAAATATTGAATTTGACATGAATGCCCACGCGTTCATGTAACATACATGTGGATGAGAGAAAAAAGAAGTATGTTGATACTAGGACTCGCTAGATTCGGATGTCAACACTTTTAATAATTAATTGATTAACAGTGAAATCGTTGTAAACTTTTAAATAAATGGATAAAAAACCTTTAATGATCAAAATGAAATTCTACACAAACTTGAGTCGTAATTGGTGAAATTTACTTGATTTGATTTCATAACCAGTAACCTTCTAAATTGAATCACGCTATAGTACTAGAATAATTGACATAATGTTAGATGGCACTCTATTATTAAATTATTAAACCATAGTTATCTTTTCCACAAATCACCTCCTGCAACCTAAGATTCTAGCACTAGTTTTGAGTGCAGTTTGATTTGGGTTGGTTTCGACTTCAATCCAAAATCAAAATCAAATTAGTCAGTTTGGATGAATTCAACCCAAACCAATCCACTCTAACTCTAAAATCGAACCAAACTAAATCGGTTTGGTTTGGTTTGGTTCGATTAATCGATTTAGACTTTCCAAAATCAAATTAGTCGGTTTGGATGAATTTCAACACAAACCAACCCACTCTAACTCTTAAACCGAACCAAACTAAATCGGTTTGGTTTGGTTTTGTTCGATTAATCAATTTAGACTTTCCAAAACAAATTAGTCGATTTGGATGAATTTCAACCCAAACCAACTCACTCCAACTCTTAGACCGAACGAAACTAAATCGGTTTGGTTTGGTTTTGTTTGGTTTGGTTCGATTAATCGATTTAGACTTTTAGTTCAAATTGAATTTTTTTTCCTAAGAAAAAATAAAAATTGTCCAAATTTTGGCCCAATTATATTACAAGATTTCAAATAACTAAATAACTTTATATTACAAGAATTATTGACTAATAAATAAAATTAGGTTACTGGAGACAGATCGATAAAAAAATTTAAGAATTTTGTTGCCTTTTTATACATTATGTATCATGATTGCCTGAGTAAGGAAAAAAGACTGAGTATAATGTAATGAGCTTTTTGAAAAAAAAATTTCAATACTATTACTTACCGATATTATAGATTGAAGGGAATCGTAATATAGTTATGAGATTAGAACTTTTTTTCTTTAAAAAAAAAATAATAAACATATAAGTGGGTTGTGTTGATTCGATGAACCAGCGGTTTGAGATTTCAAACTATAACCGAACCGAACCACCATGGTTTTATTTAAACAGAAACCAAACAAAACCAATTACATGTGTCAAATCAACCCAAACCGACCCGAGTCGGTTCCGTTTGATTGATTTGATTGATTTTTCGACTTTTTTGCCTAGGCCTATCTGGCACTACGTCTGACATTATTCTTATGGTAAAGTGGTTTAATACTTCCAAATTTTCTTTTCGTGAATAGTTCTGCATTTGGTATTCAAAATAAAAAAATAAAATAGAAAATTCCTTCTTAGATGATAAAATCTTATCAAACTTGCCACAATGGAATGGGATCCTGTCCAATCAAGTTAGTTTTCATAATTAAAGTGTCATCTTCAAATAATACATCTTGTCATAAAAAAAGAATATTATAGAAATAAATCGAATGGAATAACTTTTAAGCAATTATTTTAAATTTGATTCTTTTTTTATCTTGTCCTCTTTACCAAGAGCATAAAAGTTTAATCTGGCAGCATCATAAAATTCCAAAAGTAGTTTCTTGGTGGGTACCTCATCAAATTTCCATTCCCTAGTCACTTCCCCTAAAACTAAATACAATGTTCTTGGTTCTTTTTATTTTAATTTTCTACATCACTAGCGATGAAATTTTTCGAAATTTGAAAGCACATTTGTGTTGTTCAACTTTGTTGACTAGTAAGTTTAGTACATAAAATATATCACGTTACTTTATGTTTTAAAATTACTAATGATTGTTCTCGATCTGAAAACACTTGCAAATCACTTGTGGATTTATACTGACTTGGTCAAAAAATTCATTTTATTGAAGAAACGAAACAGGTTTTCATTGAAGGTTGATCCAAGACCACATCATAGCAAGTAGGTCTGTGAAAGACATCATATGAAAATATTATAATGGCATGACTAAAAAGGTATTCCCCTTGACAAATATCATATAGCAACCAATTAAAGGAACGTCACGATGACCTAAGGTGCACACCTAAGGCCTAGATATCATGATGATCCTATCGTGATCAATCTACTCAAGCAATCAAATATCTTTGTAATGGACGGTGACACATGAATCTAAGTAGGGATATTGTAGCTTGACATGATTAGGCTAACTCGAGTCCAATCACTTACGTAACGTAATGAAGGACATGCAAAAAAAGTCGAACTAAAAAATCTCTTTAGACAAACACACAAATTTCAACAATACCATCCCCTTACATTTCATGATATGAAATATAATAAAATATACTATCAATTAATGTTTATTGAATTTGAAAAAGAGTCGTTCACTTACAAGATCATGAATCCCAACACTATGTTATTTGGGCTCTACTGCAATTCATGGGCTGCCTTTGCCAGGCTATTGTGAAATCTTAAGGCCCATATAGGAAAATGAAAATTTTAAGTCCAATGGCACCAAACAGATGATGAAAATTATTTGCAATACTTTTTTTTATCAACTTATTTTTCTGGTAAATTTAAAGAGCTACCTTAGATTATGTAACTAATAAATATTGGGGGAAGTTTTCACCTCGCTGTAGGTCTTTCATTTTCATCACATCGATGTTAATT